AACCACTATGATTATGTTGATCCTGTGTTCTCAATTACACAAATTGATAAGGTATATGCTGCTCATTGGTATCCAATGGGCAATGAGTTGTTGATTCCACAAATTGGTGGCCCAACCATTATCCCAAATGCATCTTTGGTACGTGCACAAGGAAGACCCAAATCGTCAAGGATACAGAATGAGATGGATTGGGTTGAGTCTCAACCGACAAGCAGTCAGAGTAGATGTAGCCTGTGTAAGCAAATTGGTCACAACAAACGTACATGTCCTATGAGGATTCCCAATACAAGATGAATTGCGGAGGAAGCAGGGGAGGGGCTTAATGTTTTGATGGTTTAACATTATAGGCATTTATGGTTTTATATGCTTGTATTTGATGTCATGATGTTTGTATTTGAATGTAATGACGGTGCTATGTTTGTATTTGATGTCATGATGTTTGTATTTGAATGTAATGACGGTGCTATGTTTGTATTTGATGTCATGATGTTTGTATTTGAATGTAATGACGGTGCTATGTTTGTATTTGATGTCATGATATTTGTATTTGACTCATCTTAGTTTTTTGACTCGGAAATTATGCTCCCTAAGTCACACTCCCTTAGTGGATCAGTGTAGAGTGGAAACCTAGGGCAAAAAACATGTGTAATTCGGATTTGGGGTCCTAAACCAACAATTTAGTCGATTAACCTGTACTGCCAGTCAAAAAACCCATGTGGACATTAAATTCCTAAAACCAAGTCGTATGTTGTCATAACGTTTGTTTACGGTTAACAATACAAGATGTAGCCTTTTTAAACACATGTACTGATTTGCTGTGATGTGTTATGGACGAATGTGACCTGTTCAATATTGTTTTGTGCCGTGATGATCAAATTGCTAAAAAGGTTCCATTCATAAGTTATACAATATTGAAATGGAATTAAATTCATTACACAACATAACATAGATCCAAAAAACATAACAATTCTGCATTCATTAAAAAAAGTTACATTACATCAACGACTTAAAGGAAATACATGAACAAAACATAATAACATGATGTACACCCTAAATCTACTCATCATCCCCGTCTGTGTCCGTCTCCGAGTTGTCCTCATCTGACACATGACCCCCATCCCCTGCTGCCTCAGCTACCTGACCACTTCTTGCAAGCTCCAGACGAGCAAGCCTGTCTTCCACACCCTTAAACCTTCCCTGTATGTGTCTAAACCTTTCATTCCCTTTCTTTCTCCATTTTTTATGTGCCAGCGCCATCTTTCCTATCTTCTTTGTCATTGCATTTATGCCCTTCATGACATCACGCAGTGAAAATCCACCTTCAGGTTCAGCTATCTCCTCAACCTCTGCCACATCCTTCTCCTCCTCCTCTTCCTCCACATCTGGCTCAACAATATGGTCATCTGGGGCAACATAAGGAACCTCAACCTGGGGCATACCACTAAACTCCCACACACCCGATCTCGTGTTCTTAGTAATCTTGCACTGCTCCAATAGACGCTTTCCGAACTTGCAATTATAGCTCTTGGTCTTCTTCAACAGCTTAGTCTCTATGGGAACACCAAAGTGAACCAATATCCTCTGTACCAGACATGCGTATGGAAGATGACCCTTATGTTTGGCCTTAAACATAAACCAACAGATATAGTGCCTCCAGTTCACCATCTGGGCATGTCGGATAGCCCACATAATGGGAATGTCATGTTCCAACACCCTGGAATGATTAAAAGATCGCGGAAACAGAACGTGGGTGAGGACATAGTGTAGTATACGGGACTCCACAGAAAGCAACCCCATCGTATAGTGCAAGTGTTCCCCACGGACTCTTCTCTGCTCCTGCACGGCATCCTCTCGTACATATCCTGGAAGTACTACACCACTATCAGCGTCATACACCACAGTCTGAGAAGAGTCAAAATCATAGCCGAGTATCTCCATCCATGCAGGTGCCGTCATGATGATCTCTATTCCACAGACCCTCGACCTCAGCTCGCCCTGTACGTAGCTGAGGTTATGGTAGAAGGCCCGTATCATAAGCTCTGAATACGGACATAGGGTCTCAGCCAACACCCTCAGATGTGCCGCCTCCAACACCCCCACAATTTCAAATCCCTCCTTATCAAAAAAGGCTGTATCCAAAGATTTTGGAGCACATAACGGCCGGTTCAAATGGTCACGTACGAATGAAGCGTGGACGGCAGGGTCGTCCTCAAACAGATACCCATACGGGAGGTCAACAGTATCAGGCTCTTCGTCTTGTCGCCTTGACGAAGAAGGCCGCTCTTGCCTATGCTTGGTGCGTCTCTCAAGTGACTCATTGCCCTCATCGCTTGGTCTTCTGCGGCTCGTCATTTGTTTAGGGTACCTACAATGAAACATGTCAGCATTTAACTATATGAAACATGTCATGATGGTAATGAAAACTTGCAACATAAGCGCTGTAAACCAAAAGCAAACTTTTGCCACATACAAACTTTTCAAACAAAAAAATTCACACAATGCAAAAAAATAAACCTTAGTAGATTAGGGTTACAAAACCTACAACAAACGCTTTGATTAGAGTTCACAAATTCGGACAACAAACAAATACAAAAAATTCCTAAACCTAAAACACAATGCAAGTTAAGAAACCTTACCTATCCTTCAGATTTCACGATTTGGACCAAATTTGGGGGCAATCCACACGCCTAAGGGAAGGGTTTGGGGCGTTCTTCAGCTGCTCCTGCGGATTTGGGGTTTGGGCCGCCTCCTTAGTCGATTAGGTCATCCTACTCCCCCTCTGCCGAATGGGGGGTTTTTAAAAAACAAATCCGTCGATATTTAGTCGACTAAATATCGATACTTAGTCGACTAAATATCCCAAAAATGTAGTCGATTAAGATGATTTTTTAGTCGACTAAATTTGCGGTAGTCCACTTTCTGAAGATTGACCATTTGCTCGACTAAAACAGCAAGGTAGTCGACTAAAAGGGGGCAGGTTGGTGGATAGTTCTTGATCAGGGGCAAATTGGTTATTAATTAATTAATGAGGGGCAAAAGGGTCAAAAAGCCTGACTTATTCAGTTTAGTAGAAATTGTCTTTTTAAAAAATAATAGAAAACAAGTTACATAGAAAGTATGGTAAGTGTACTGCTGCGAGTGATTAATTTATAATAAAGAAAAAAATATTTGTCATTTTAAATGATATAATTTTTTGTCATTTTTAATGAAACTACATCGTTTTGGTGTGTTTTAGATATGTTTTTACATTTTTTTCTCTTTTATAAAATTAGGAAAAAAAGAAAGTGTTGTAGAGAGAATTGAAAAATATACCAAAACGACATAATTTTGTTAAAACTGACATAAAATTATGTCGTTTAAAATCACAATTACTTTCCCTGGGCTTATTTTTTCTAAAGTTGTTTTAGATAACTTTATCTAATGCTCATCAAAACGACGTCTTTTTAAGGCAGAAATCATGGTGTTTTTGTAATTTTAATTTATTTCAGGGTTATAATAGTCTTTATCATTCTAGTTTTTTAATTTTTCAACTCAAAACGACGTCGTTTCGATGAACATTAGATAAAGTTATCTAAAATAACATTAGATACTTTTTTCCCAAAAATAAAAGTGTTAAATGCTTTTACGATTCTTTCTACGGGAAGTTAAATGACATTCCGGACTCTACTATAATTCTTTTTTAAAAAACATAATTAATATTCTACACATACCTCCTATAGTATGTGTTTATTAAGAAACAAACACTGAATTGTAACGGAATGCTTGGAATTGGAACAGTAAAATGTTTTTCCTAAAACTTACGTTTATGTAATTTAATTTTAAAATTTCTTATTCTAGAATGAGTTTCTTATTCTACACAACATTATAACCTTGTTTACCTATCTCAGAAGAGTCGGAATAGAGGTCCAATTACCATTCTGTTGTCTTCAGCAAATTGAATTCAGAATCCAGTAGCCAAGTTCCACACATACTATATGAGGTATGTGTAGAATATTAATTCAGTGTTGTTTCTTATCCTCTCTCCTCTTATGTGTAATGTTCTCGTTAGTGGGATGCACTGAATCTTTAGTATAACAGTAACACCAAAGATTTCTTCCAACGTGAGATCTCTGCTGTTGATTTATTGTATTTTGGCATCGATTAATTTTTAAAGAAAAAAGGCTTTATATATAAAATTCTTCTCATAAAACATTTGATTATGAGCAGTTTTTAATCCAAAATGAACTAATTCAACCACACATTAAACAGAGCTCTGTCTCTTTGGTCCTTTTACAAAGAGCTGCAACATACGGCCATTTACCTTTAGAATGCATTCAAATCGTGTCGTATGGTTCTTTTTTCGGAAGTTAATTGCTGCACTTCATAATCACGACAACCATTCCAACACTAAAACTATAAATTTTGTTTCAGAATGATGAGAGAAATATCTGATTCTGCTAGGCCTGTAACCGCAGTTGCCGAAACATGAACCACTCCCCCAAAACACAGAACATGCCCCTTTTTTGTCCCAAACCTTAAACATATTTTTATGCACACCAATGTGGTAAGAAAAAGACCTCACATCTTTTCAGCAATAATATTTTTCGTAAAGAAACTCCGCACAGACCACTCATTGTTAAATAGGAATTTCATCCAATGCACGACACCATACAATTATGAACATATAATAAGACAACTGAGCAAAGCAAGTTGAACTATTTGGAGACAACCTTCAACATCATCATGATTCATGACCATGTTAATCTACATCTATTGTCCTTCCATTACATCTAGCATTCAACCATGACAAAACATCATTCCTAACAGTTTCAACATTGTCATCAGTTTCCCCAAAAAGCAAAGAATGCATCATCCCTTCATAGACCTTAATTGTCTTGTCTTCACTCCTTGCCACTTCATACAATTCCCTGCTGACATTAGGGTCAGTAACAACATCAGCACTACCGTGCAACACAATGAAAGGAAGATTCACATCACAGAGCCTCTGATTCAAAAGATCAGTGACCCTCAGGAGCTCCACCACAGTCCCCAACCTGGGTTTCCCTCTATACCTCACGGGGTTCATACCAGCAATGACCTTCTTGTGATCAACCTTAACAGACTTGTAGAGAAGATCTGGGGTGGGAACAATGGGCAAAGTGGGAAAGAACCTTGCAATGAAAGTAAGAATCTGAGGAATTGGCCATCTTGGTCTAACCTTATCAGAGATTTTGCACATGGGTGCCACCAAGATGGCACCTTGGAACCCTTTTGGATCAGCAGAGTGTATCATGAGGCAAATGGCACCACCCATTGACTCACCATAGAGAAAACAAGGCAACCCATTAAAGTTAGGGTCTTTTTTGATGGAAGTGAAGAAGGAGAGACAATCCTGTACAACGAGGTCCACGCTAGGGACGAAGGCCTTGAGGCCTTGCGATTGGCCATGACCCTCTAGGTCAAGGGCGAAACAAGCGAAACCCTTCTGGGCAAGGAAAATTGGGGTGGCTTGGAAGGTCCACGAGATGTCGTTGCCATAACCATGAACCATGAAGATGAGGGCGCGTGGTGGGGTTGTGAGTGGGGGAAGCCAGGACCTTGTAAAGAGGGTTAATCCTCTTGGTGTTTTGAACAACGATTTTGAGGCTCTTATTCCTTGTTGTTCATAGTAGTCCTCTTCTGGGGTGTAGCCCCAATAGTAAGGATAGGATTGGAGAAGGTTTTGATGTTCTTCCATTGCTATGGGAATTGTGGAATCTGGGAATGGAGTTTGTATGGTATGAAATGGTGGATTGGAATTTTTTCTGGATGGTCGACACACGACACTTGGGAATATGGGAAAATCCGAATTGGACTTTGGCTTTTGCGTCTCTGAGTTGACTCGCTTTGTATTCAAGTGTGTTCGACTTCGACTTCAATAGTGTTCTATCCATTGTGGTTTTAAGAACTGGACCGATTCGACTTCAATAGTGTTCTATCCATTCATGTGATTGGGCCACTTGCTTCAACATGGATTCTTGATCAAATGGTCTAACTGAATAGAAAACAAAAATGTTAGGCATGAATGAACAACTTATATGCATGTATCATGTACGTATGTACATTTATATTTTAATTGGGTTTGATATTTGTTATTTTAAGTGAGAGAAAGATACAAATGATAAAAATTATGGGAGAAGAAAGTGAGTGGATTTTTTTAAATTTGATTTGAAATAAAAAACATTAGTTTGTATCTTTCTCTTACTTAAAACAACATAATTTTATGTTCTTTAAAATGACTATTTTTTCCATTTCCATTTTATCAGTTTATTAATGTGACATGCATGACAAGAAAACAAAAAAATAGAAGGTATACAACTAGTATTTTTCAAATAAAAAAGGTGAACCCCTTGTTTTGCTTTATTTAAAGATTTTTGGAATATTAATTTTTTTAGGTCGTCAAATAATTTTTCGATATTGAAATTGTCTGAAAATGACTAATTATTGGGATCAAATTGATGTTATTTGATAAAAAATGATTCTGCAAGAACTAATTTAATGTATTCGATCTTTTCAAGACTGATTAAATTGATATTCTGAAAAAATAAATTTGAGTTTTCAAATTGCAAATTTACTCTTGAGATACTTAGCAACACAAAAAAATATATTAAAAAAATTAAATGTTTTTTATTTGATAAGTCACATTTTATTTTTCGATTTTTATCATTCAAATTTTTTTTTTTTTTTTTGATAACATCATTCAAATATTTTAACTAGACTGACTAAGTGGTTAGTCCGGATTCGGTTATTTTCTTCTATTGTTTTATATCCTTTTATTAATGACTGTATAACTATTTTACCAAAAAATATATATTGTATAACTACCTTAAATAATAGAATAATAAATTGCACCATTAGACATGATTCCAATGCTTCTGTTTTTGTTTTTGATTTTTTTGGAATAAATCACAGGTATCCTTCATATGAGATAATTCTGTTCGGACCGGGATCAGGATTATGACTTTTGTTTTTGTTTTATCTGGATTCCAATGTTTCTTCGCTTTTATTTGTTTATTATACTTTTAATTCACTTATAATGTAAAAATACATGTATCCAGCATTGATAAGTCTTTATCTTGTTTTGCTTAGATATATGACCACTCAATTTTGTACGAGATATTTTATTTCTTACGTTAGGTAGATCCACTTTCAAAAAGCTAAATACATCAAGATAATGATGGATTTTCTTATATGAATATCGTCACAACTCGAATTTTGAGTCATTATCAACATACATACTATTTATATTGCACTGACACTGACACGAAACACGAGATACGATATGACATGATACTCTGACACATTAATTCTAAAAAATATTAGATTTCATCACGTTAGGACACATTTTGATATTAAATAATATTTTTAATTTATGTAGTGTATATTATATTTAATATTCAATAATTTAACAAAAAATGAAGCTAAATTTATAATACCAATCAATTTTGCAAAAAAACATAAGATATCCTAAATATTTATATTAAGTTTAATAAAATGGTAATCGTAATCCAACGAAGCTAATAGTTAGATCTAAAAATGCAACGCAACACAACCTTTGAATCTTTTTTTGAGTCTCTGCAATGCGTGTTGGAGTGTCGGAGAGTGTCAAAAAGTGTCGGATACGATACGTCACGATTTTTGAAGTGTCGGTACTTCATAGCATACTATTATCAAATAGTTCGATAAGTGTGTTAGTCCAAAGGGCTGCTGAATGCCCTTTAAGTAATTATTTGTTGGGCTTTTGTAATTAAAAGTCTAAAAGTCCAGCCCAATAAGAAATGGATCTAGGATTTCCTGATGCACACTTGTATCGGCCTATTGTAGACAAGGAGAGAGTAGCCACATTACAAAGTGAGAGAGAGAGAGAGCAACACTATGCAAAAGTGAAGAGAGTAAGACCCGAAAAACACAATAGAAGAAGTTGTTTTTGTCCATATTCAAGATCTTGTTTGTCCATTGTTGGATGGAGTTGAAAATTTTTCAGCATGTTCAGGATTCGTCAACCTTAAAACCATTTTTTAGTATGATTACCTTTTGCTTCGTTAGACATAAGTTCTTTGATTTCCACTTTGTAATTTTTTTTAATTAGGCAGACACTCTTTGATGGTGAGTCACTACCAGAAAATATTATTTTACCGACAGATAATTTTTGCCGTAGAATAGCATAATTCGTCGCAAAAATGGTTTGCGATTGAATTTACAGGGGAATAAGGTTCGTCGCTAAATGTTTCCTCGCAAACGATTTTTGCGACGGAGTATTGTCGATCCAAAACCCGTCGCAGATTGCTACGAACATTATCCCACGCAAAATACTACAAATCAGTCGCAAAAGAAAGACTTGTCTAAAATGTTATTCTGTTGCAATCTGTGACAAAATTTGCGTGGAAATCATTCGCAAAGTTGAGACGAAAATAATATCCACTATCATCATAAAAGTTTGTGGCAAAATTATAAGTTAAACCGATTGCAAATTTTGCAACAAAAAAAGTACAGTACACCTTTGCAATATTTGCATCGGAAAAAGTACGGTAGATCGTTGAAGATTTTGCGATGGAACATGTAACATAATACCGAAGCAAAACTGCGATGGCATACCAATTATCCATCGTAACAGGATTCCGGATATGCGACGGATTACGTATATTTTTCGTCGCAAATGATGAATAAAAAATATATAATATCTTATATTCTTTCAAATTTTTCCTGTAAACAACATATGGATGTCAAAAAAATATATATAATACCTTATATTTTTATAAAATTTTGCTTTAAACAGTATAGGTCAAAAAAATGAACATAAATAATACAGAAATACCAATTAAAATCAAAATATGCTTCAACAAAAGTTAGCAATAAAAATCCTAACAACTCCTAAACCCTAAAAACAATTAAAATGTCTCTAAAGTCCAATCCTACTCATGATGATCATCATCCAGCGCCGGTCCCTTCTTCTTCTTCCTGTTGTCTTCCTTCCCCTTCATTAAGAGTTGGAGTTGTTCCAGCATTTGCTTCATAATGTCTACTTGCTGAGTCAGCTGCGCCTCTAGCTGGGAGGTCTTCTGCTGATACTTCTGATATGTGACGTTCATATTTTGAACCAAAACTCTCATCCTTTTAAGCTCATTTGTGAACACAATATTATAAAGTAAGTTAATTTTTTTTATACTTAATATAAATGGAATAGGGACTGAAAACATAAAACATACTAACTATGTGCCTTGAGTTTACCTATAGAAACACTTCCAAAATCTGGGTAGAGGGCCGCTTACTAGGTTTTAGTCGGCTGGCAAATCCTTGGAGCCCGACCATCCTTCCTTTCTTGTTGAATCCTCTTAAAACCGTAAGGAAGAGGTATCTCACTATGCTAGGTATGTCACGGTCAACGAAACCAATGGAAGAGCACTCTTTTACTGGTTCTATAAGAATATGACTAAGCCAGAAGAGAAACCATTGGTGCTGTGGCTTAATGGAGGTAAAAGCAGATACAAATTAATGCCTTTATTTACTATGAGACATCATATGTAACAACTTTCAGACTTTGGAGTCATTGCCTAAATTTTTTTTAGTGAATAGTATGGGAACAGATTTATGATCAAACATGTTATGATAAGATACTATAAACTATATATACATCATATCTTCCATTGGGGTGACAGTGACTGTACTTATGTTTGTTCTTGTTCTTGTTCTCTCAGGTGTTACAGTACAGGAGATATAGCCCATGTTTCATATTTCACAAACCGTAATCTTCCATTCTCCAAAAGTCACTTATGAGTAGACATTTAACTTGAGTCATTAGTATGTTTAAAGAAAAAGCCATGTCCTTATCAACAGTTAAAATAACCTCCATTATTGTGGAAAATAGGCCATTTTTTCTTAATAAAGAAAGAGAGACAAAACTGGAATTTTTCTTCTTCTTAAGTGGTGGGGTAGAGTGTTAGGTGGCAGCTAATCTGAAAGCGTTTAAAACACTGCTGATTTAATTTAAAAATTTCTTATTCTAGAATGATTTTCTTATTCTATACAACATTATAACCTTGTTTACCTAATTCAGAAGAGTCAGAATAGAGGTCCAATTACCATTCTGTTGTGTCCAGCAAATTGAATTCAGAATCCAGTAGCCAAGTTCAAATCAACGTGGGATCTCTGCTGTCGATTTATTGTACTTTGGCATCGATTAATTTTTAAAGAAAAAAGGCTTTATTTTTAAAATTCTTCTCATAAAACATTTGATTATGAGCAGTTTTTAATCCAAAATGAACTAATTCAACCACACATTAAACAGAGCTCTTTGTCTCTTTGGTCCTTTTACAAAGAGCTGCAACATACGGCATTTACCTTTAGAATGCATCCAAATCGTGTCGTATGGTTCTTTTTTCTGAAGTTATTTGCTGCACTTCATAATCATGACAACCATTCCAACACTAAAACTATAATTTTTGTTTTAGAATGATGAGAGAAATATCTGATTCTGCTAGGCCTGTAACCGCAGAACATATCCCTTGTCGATGTTGCCGAAACATGAACCACTCCCCCAAAACACAGAACATGCCCCTTTTTTGACCCAAACCTTAAAACATATATTTATGCACACCAATGTGGTAAAAAAAAGACATCACGTCTTTTCAACAATAATATTTTTCATAAAGAAACTCTGCACAGACCACTCGTTGTTATTAAGGAATTTCATCAAAAGCACGACACCATACAATTATGACCGTATAATAAGACAACCGAGCAAAGCAACTTGAACTATTTGTAGACAACCTTCAACATCATCTTTATTTGATGACCATGTTAATTTATATCTATTGTTCTTCCCTTACATCTA